AATCACAAAATTGCATGGGTTAAATTTTTGTGTTCCCTCCTGTTAATTTTGTGTTCCCAGTACGTTCCCTCCTGTTTCATTGATCTACAGTGTGTGTCACAATAAATCATCAACTCCAACTAGGGATGGAACGGTTTATATCACGTCCGGCGACGAATAATATTTTATAATTGATCCTGATGATTAATCACTAAATTATAAGTGACAATTAATTTGGCAATAAATCGTCACCCCATCCCTAATTCCAACTATATATAAGATGGCCAAAATTTTTATCGCAGATCATACCAAAAATAGAACATTACAATTATTTATAATCAATTTCAAGTCTGAGAGTATTGAATTAGGGATGCTGCGACGTGATTTATATTTTTTGACAGCATATTCAGCTTGTTTGCAATTTAGACTTTTCTATAACAATCCATGTACCACATGGATTTTCTTGCAAATTTACAAATTTGATTTAATGGAACCAAATCTAATGCAATTGGAACTGTTCTTACAAGACCTGTCCAAGTATAATCACAATTCTCACAAGCATATCTTTTTGCAGCATTATCAAACCACTCAATAGTATCATCATTATCATCATCAGAACTTTCATCAAAATCATCTAGTTCTCTATTACTTTATTAAATAAAAATATGAATTAAATTACAAAAATAATAAATAACATACTTAAATCATTTATATGTATCACACATCTCATTATCAATAAATTCATTTAATTCATTAGCATTATTAATTTCTTGATTCTTATCTTTAATTGATTCTTGTCTAAATTTGACAGATGATTGTGCTATTTTTTTAAGATGCTGATTTTTATTAGATACTCTACCCATATTTTATTGGGATAAATTTATAATTAAAAATCTTTATAATTATTTGTTAATTTGCAAGGAGTATAAATGTGTCGCATATTAACTTCATGAAACCAAAAAAATTAATGCCGGCAAAATTTAAAAGTTTCCAATCCTTTGGCCCAGGTTAAGTCATAATCTTGGCAAAATTTTTGTGGCCAAATTTAAAAATGTGTATAAATATAATTAATTTTAATTCCTTATCGCTCCCCCAAAAATAAACCAATTTTAAAAAACTCAATGCTAAGAGTTAGCTTTTGATTATTTATTTCAACTCATGTTGTTAAAATTTTTATTATTACATAAAATTAAAAGTTATTGACATTTAAAGTAAACCAATATTTTATGGATCATTTATTGTGACACACACTGTAGAATATAGTTTTATATGTCATGCGGAGTCTAGCTCCATGGCTTTATTCACATAACAGTACAATATATGGTGATACCTAATTTGTTGGAATATTACTTATAATTTCAAGCATTGTTTTTCTTGAGGAAATAAATAAATGGGTGGTTTTCAACTTTAAATTTTCATTGAAAAGCAAACCAAATGATGTTACACCGAGTTACAGTGCAACAAATCCAAGGAATGGGTACTTGAAAAAAGTTTATAACCAGAACATTTTTGATGTAAGTAAACAAGTCACTCTGAAAAGTTTGTGGGGTGTTTCTCATCTAACTTTCCTGCACAAGTAGAAAATGGGACAGTTCTACACATGAAAAATTGCAAGAACTCCATCATTTTAATGCTTTGTGTTGAGTTGACATACTGGGGGCAATAGTGCATTTTTTAACACTGCACTGTTCAAATGAATTATTTTATGATGTTGATAAAACACGAATTATTTTTTTTATTTTAATTTTAGGATTTGTCTAACCATTTCTGTGTTCATTATTGACCTTTAAAGATATAGAGAATTACATGATCATGATTGACCTTTAAACACATAATTTAAGGGTCTCATTTGACCTTATAGAATTTCTGAATCACCTTTGACCTTTAAAATGTGCAGAGGGTAAAATTGATTTTGAAAACACAGATAATTTCTGGGTCACAACTAATATAGAGAATTTCAGGGACACATTTGACCTTTAAAATACAGTGAATTTCAGGGACACAATTAACCCTGAAAATGTATTAGAGAATTTTAGGGTCACAATTGACCTTGAAAATGTATTAGGTTTACAATTGAACTTAAATAGAGAATTTCAGGGTCACAATTGACCTTGAAATGTATAGAGAATTTCAGAGTAACATTTGGCCTTTAAATCATATAGAGAATCCTAGGTCATAATTGACCTCGAAAATGTATAGAGAATTCCAAGTCACAATCGAGAATTTCAGGATCACATTTGGCCTTTAAAACACAGTGAATTTCAGTGTTATAATTGACCTTGAAATGTATAGAGAATTTCAGGTTCATAATTGACCTTTAAAACACAGTGGAAATGTATAGAGAATTTCAGGATCACAATTGACCTTGAAAACATAGAGGATTTCTGAGTTACAATTGATCATGAAAACAGAGAATTTTAGGATCACAATTTACCTTGAAAATGTATAGAGAATTCCAGGTCACAATTGACCTTGAAAATGTATTAGGTTTACAATTGTTCTTAAATAGAGAATTTCAGGGTCACAATTGACATTGAAGATGTATAGAGAATACCATGTATCAAAAAGTTCATACAAACACAGTTTTCACAAAATTTGTCTGAATATCTAATTTGCCTTCATTAAATTCTTCTGGTTCACCCGATTTAAAAATAACATTGTCTAATTCAAACTTATAAATAAATTGTTTTTTACAATATTCCTTTTCATCTTCTGAAAGTTTTTCATTTTCGATTATTAATATAAAAATGCAGCCTCTTGAATTTCATTTCTAGATGTGTTTGATGAAGTGTTATTACAAGTATCATTTGCAATTGATAAAGAATTATTAAATAATTCAAAACAAGATTTAGATACAAAAGTTTTTCTGTCTGGTGATAATAAATTGTAATATGACATTATTAAGATAGTAGATGTAAAAATCTTTTTATGGATAAGTATTTTATCATGCAAAGAAATCTAAAGTTGTTTCTGACGCAAATTAAAAGCACAATGTAAAAAAACTATTGGAGTCCTGTTAGAGACAATTATAAAGAATAATGTTGATTGATTGAAACGATTTATGGCTAAATAATGTCAAAATATTGTAGAAAATAAAACATTGATTTTTTAATAAAAAAGGATTTATTTTTTTGTTGTTAATAGATATGTTCTTTTTTATTCCAACTCTATATAACTTGTTAGAAAATTAAATTTAATATTTTATATTGACTAAATATTCTTTTACCGCTATTTGGTTTGTAGTGGTTCGGTTAAATTTGAGGAGAGAATTTGATTTTGACATCCTACAGGTTCATTATTTTATTTACAGTGTGTAACGAAAAAAATTGCCTTCACGAAAACTGAAATAAATTTGAAATAAATAAGGAAATACGTTGTAAAT